TGTTAAAATAGTAAGAATTTAGTTTTATCAATATTAAACTATAAGTAAAGTGATCACGATTTTTAGACTCATGTAAATTTAAATAAAATTTACAAGTTTATACCACACGTACATTTTGACAAATTACCAGAGCATTGTATTATAGGTGAATATAAGACCCCAAATAGTCACTATAATAAACTATTATAGTATCTATTAGTAGTAACTATTATTAATAGTTATGAAAAACAGCCCAAATAGTTACTCAAATAGTTACTTATAATTTCATAAAATAGGCTTTAAAATTGTATTAAATGTTACCAAATGTTAGTTCCACTCTTTAATACATTAAATATAACTGTTTTTAAGTTAAATCACTTGTATTTAACTAAATTAACTATTTTTAAGAATATCTTAATTATTTTGGTCAAACCCCTGAATACATACAACTCATAATTTTGATCATTCCATCGCTTTGAATGATAAATAATTGCAATATTTTATAATAACCTTTATATTTGTCATAGATTACTCTATTTTAATTTATATCTAATAAACAAATGCAAATTAAGTTGTGATTTACTTTGTGTTTTATACTAAAATATGCCAAAAATTTGAAAAATGTGTCAAATAGTTACGTATAAGGTAATAAACGTTCAAATAGTTACAAACGCCTCAAATAGTTAAATATAGTTAAAATAAACTTTCGGTAAACTAACCCCCAATACATGATCGGTTCACATCCCAAGTCTGGGGGTAATGCTATTAACCGCTAAAAATAGGTGGTATAGGTAAATGCAATTCCCTGCAAATTACTTATTAAGCCATTAATAATACAAATAATTTATTTAAAAGTTTATATTTAATAATAAAACAAATGAAATAAACAGAATAAATTGTAACAAAAAATAAACAATCAAGGTTGAATTTACAAATATTTATTCAACGCATCCGGGTTAAGAAGATTGGCGGCCACGCAACCACCATCGGCAATTAAATTAGTGCCGGTAACAAAAGCAGCATGGTCACTGGCCAGGTATAGTATAGCGTAGGCAATATCATTGGGCGAACCCGACCGGCCGACCGGCACCATCTGTCTGTAGCCGTCCATTAGTTTATCGGACATCTCTTGACTCAATCCCATAGCGGTTGCGAAGCCAGAATCAACGGGACCGGGACTGTTAGGGTAACAAACAAATTATTAGTTATTTAGTCATGTAATATAACTTATATTATTATCAACAAAGTTGGTTATTGAAAGCATACTTGATAACATTAACCCGGATGCGTTTAGGTCCCAACTCGGCTGCCATACAACGGGTAAACATATCGAGAGCACACTTTGCCATATTGTATGGTGAAAAGTCTATTACCTATTAATTTTAATTAGTTTATTAAAAATGCTTTATTTAATATAAATAGTAATTAATCATATAAAAATTAATGATGGTATGTTAACTTACAGCTCTTAAACCGCCCATGCTTGATATGTTGACAATATTCCCCTTTGTTTTCTCCAAATGCTCGACACAAATGTGGGTTAAATAGACCACAGAATTGAGATTTATATCCATTTGCTTTTGATAGATCTCGTAATAATTTTTGTCGGCGATTGGACCCGAACTGCCGGCGCCGGCGTTATTGACGAGAATATCAAGTTTACCGAAATGTTTGATAGTCTGGTCGACGAGTCGTCGCATGTCTTCCCGTTTGGTCACATCTGCCGTCACTTCCAGTGCTTTAATCCCTTTCG